CCACTACCCAGCAGCACTGATTCCCCTCAGGGGGCCCACACCTACTGGGCGTCCTCCTATCCGCCACCTTGGAGACGCGCCCGGTGGTTAGCTCAACCTCCGGGAAGGTATTAAGTAACTGTTATATAAAATATTTAATATATATTATTATTTAAAAAAATTTTATTCTTATTAATAATAAGGCCCGTATGATGCTGGCGGCGCAGGCATGTATCCTGATGCGGGAGGTGCGCGCATGTATCTAGGCGACGGTGCAGAAACGTATCCGGATGCGGGAGGTACGGGCATGTACCCAGGCGGCGGTGCAAAAACGTATCCGGATGCGGGAGGTGCGGGCATGTACCCTGGCGGCGGCAGGAAAGGAACATATCCTGTCGGTGCGGGGGGCACAAATGTTGTCGGTGCAGGAGGCATGGGCACAAATGTCGGTGCGGGAGCTACAGGAACAAATGTCGGTGCGGGAGGCACGGGCACATAGGCTGTCGGTGCGGGATATCCCGTGTACGCCGTGTATGTCGGTGGCGGTACACCGTGCTTCCGCTGCCGCCGCTTCTCGCGATTGACCGCCCGCCGCATCGCGTCATTAATGCGCTGCAGAAAGAAATTAAAATATTAAAAATAAAGTATTAGTGTTTTTATATGTATATACTTATATGTATACATTAGAGTGGTTTTTATTAACTTTTGATTAACATTTTGTTTCGAATTCTTTCCGCGGTACTCCTCAAAATATTTTCAATCCACAAAAACAATTCCTGCCAAATTTCAGCTCGATTGGACAAGGAACCGGTGTCTTTGGTCCGTTAAACATTTTTTTTCTTGTAATAAACTTTCTATACTATCAACATTGATTTTTAAAGTGTATTTTTTACAAAAATTAGCCTAAAGGACTTTTCTTTCTTTTTAACAAGTGTCTTGCTTTTCTGCATTGTTTGAAACCTTATACATTTCATTTTATCAATTAGGGGGAATTGTGTGTAAATAATAAAAAAATAAAAATATAGTTATTGCATTTATTCATTGTTTAAACTAAAAAAAAATTATCTATGGGCTAAAAAAATTGTAATAGTATTGTTACGTCCTGATCAGACTACACGATTCTTTTCTTTTCATTAAATACCAGACCTAGTAAACGCGGAACCAACAAAACTCTTAAGAAATATTATAACGCCAGAGCTGTTTTTCTCATGAGACACCAGGAGCTCGAATCTTCTCACGGAGAAAAATAGCATGGATATTTCAAAATACCTTGGCCGCTCAGCGTGCCTATCGTCGCCAGAAAAACCGTAAAAGTCAAAACTTCGCGGTAGCTGGAGTCCTTAACCGACTCCAGACGGTTAGAGTAAGAGATAAAAAGAAAAAACTGGCACCAACTAGTCATACTCTTGGATTCCACCTACGGGAACTCTAGCTAGTAGATAG